TGCTGTTAGACAATCTTAGGCTCTCCACTCCTACTGTGGGCTCTAGCTCATGTAGGTTGCCCAGTTCGCTCCAGCTGCTCCTCCTGCTAAGCTCCAAGTGGCCATTTGTTTCACATTTGATCCTCAGATCAGTCCTACCAGAGCGCAGCTCTGATGTGTGAGCCAGGCTGCCTCATACTTCTTGGCAAAATTAGGTGTTTAATAAATGTATGGAAGAGTGATGTCATGCTCGCAAAACTTTTTTTTCCCCCCCTCTCTTCACAATTTTTACGGTGATCCATATCAAAATTTCTTGCTTTATTTTCTATTATTCCCCTTTGGCTAGTTTTGCTCCTAGCAACACTAGGTCTTCTGAATAAGCCCCATTTGCTGAGCTGCTTTATGTTCATTCTCTTCTCTATTTCTGGAATGGTTTCTAGTAATTTCTGTCTTGCGTTTCTCCTTAAGTGTCAAGGCGCAATTGTAACCATATCCACAGTGCTGCCTTTTCTTCTCTCTCTGAAATCCTGTGGCACATTTTCTCCTGCTGTCCTGTGCAAGTGTGGTTTCCAGTTTTGTCTTGACGGGGGCCTTCACACCTGTGTTGTACCTCTGAAACCCAGCTGCTTGGTTTTCCTGATAGAGCCCTTCCCGCTCATGCCCAGCATGTGGGAGTCAGGCATAGCGCACAGCATAGATTTGCCTGTAGATTCTGGGGACAGGTGGAAATGATTTTCTTTTTAAAAATAACTTTTACTTTAGGATAATTTTAAATGTATCTAAAAGTTGTAAAGATAGTGCATAGAGTCGCAGTTTCTCCTAATAGTAACATCTTACGTTAGTATGGTGTACTTCCCACAATTAATAAAGCAGATTGATAAACAGATATTAACTAACTAAATTCCATATGTGGTATTCAGATTCCCTTAATTTTAAACATTTTAAAATATATTTGCAGGCCTCTCTTAAAATAAAATGGTCTGAAATCTGAGATACACTCCATTTATGTAGAACTCGTGGTGCTTACAAAGCATCGCCAAATAGTACTGTACCAGTGAACCTCGGTAATGTGTGTCAGAGGTTTTCAGCATTAGCCCAGAACATCAGCATTGCTATAAACATCTGACATATATAAAATTTATTTTCTCATAAAATGTTTCATGGCTAGGTTTGGGGAGTTGACTTGTCATAGTGGAATCACTCTCATCTATATTGTTAGTAAAAGGAGTATTTATGGCTACTTATAGAGCAATTTACTTAAAATATTTAGTTTTAATGAAAATTTAAGTAATTGGCTTCCAAGCAAAAAATATTTGAGAAGGTCCCTCTTTTACATATATAACTTGGGAGTTACCATTCATTTTGTGGGCTCCTCTTGCAAACCCCGCATGGCTTGGGTGCTTGGTACCTTCAGGCTGTGCATGGCAGTCGATAGCCAGGTCCCTAATTTCAATGTGAATAAAGGTGAAATTTGGACAGGAGGAAGAGGGGGAGCTCCTGAAGTTCTCCTCTTGCGCTTCCTCCTGTTCTTTCCCACTGTGCTCCTTCTTTGGTGCTTCATCTTCCTTTGCATATAGAGAAGGCTGCATCCCACGAAGGCAAAACTTATTTCAGTCATCCTTCATATCCCAGTGGTCTGTGTCTTCTTCATGTTAAGTATTATCTCTTTCTGGGAGTATTTTTCTAAAAGAATAAAACTGTGTACAAGGAGACTGTTACAAAAATATATCAAGATTTTAGTATTTTAAAAGAGGATGCTCCATTTTTTCCTCATGTTTGTTGCATGATAGTTTCCAACATTTCAACACGTGAGATGAGAGAACTCTTCTATATCTTTTATTTTTATAGCTTGTACTTTTTCTAGGCCCCTCCATTCATAAATTTTACATTGTCAAAATGACAGAGAAACCACTACTAGAAGTTAATGATGGAGTAAGCAGTAGTTGGTGACACTTCAGTTTCCTCAGGCATGGCAAATCATTAACCCCTCAGAGTAGGAATGAAAAGGAATAAGAAATAGAAAATCTGTACAAAGACTCCCCAGAACTTTACTTCTCAAAATAATGATAAGATGACTTAACGTACAGGCATAAACTTTCCAACGTTCCACATATATCATACATAAAACTATGTCTATGAACAGTTTTCACATTTTTAAAGATGTGGATGATTGTACGCTGCCTTTATGTAAGTGAAAACCCAGATGAAAACCCAACCAACTCTGATGCGCATCCTACTTCAGTATCTGCTAATTTCATCCTCATGCTCTATATAGTCAATGTCATAAACTGCAGCGCATTTACCCATAGAGTGGGAATTAGGAAGAGCTGATTCATTGTCTTTCTTAACTGGCTGTGGCTTCAGCACGAAAACCAACAGACGGAACCAAGGGTAGCCAAAAAGATCACGATGTTCCATTTGTGACCATAGGCAGTATTTGGTCACTTGGGTATTTCCTTCAGAGTATTTCTTCTTTGACAAACTGACATTCAGTGTCTGGAAACATTTTTTAGGGTGGGAACTTAAAAGTACCGATAACTTAGCCTTTGCCTCCTTCTGCTCTTCCTCCTTTTTTTTTCCTTTGTGGTTGTGTTTTTTTTTTTTTTTTTAATTTTTAAAACTTATTTACTTGGTACAGGGTCTCTCTATGCAGCTCAGATTTGTAACGATCCTCCTTTCTCAGTCTCCCCAGCACTGGTATTACACGTGTGCACCCCCATGCCTGGTTTTGGTGGCTGGCACGGTGCATCTAGTGTTTGGGGCTGGTATGGCATGCAGTACCAGAGATCAAACTCGGGTCACTGTGGTTGCCAGGCATGTGCTGAGACCACTGAGCTATCTCCTCAGCCCTATGTTTGGCTTTTAGAGTCTTAATGTACACTTCAGAAGGCCCTGAACTCACTACATATAATGAGGCTACTGCCTCAGCCTCATGAGTTCTGGGGCTATGAGCACATCCACTGTGCCCACCTTGCCCCGACTTCTTCTCTTGTCACTGATAGGTTGATTCCTACATTGACACTCCATACTCTTCTCCTTATTATATAGTGAATGAAGTATGGCTGAGTAGCTACAAACTCTGGACATTTCTTTCTACACTGATAAATTCTGAAGTTTTTCCAGACGTGGAAAATGTGATGTGGTCCTTTCTACATTTTCAAAATTAATGACTAGTATTTCAGATGGGGTAAATGGTATCATATTCCTACTGTGTCATGTATGTTGCTCATTTATAGGTTTTACACCTTTATATATAATATATCACATTCACTTTATCACAGCTTTACTAGAAAAATAGGGCAGGCAGCACTCACAGAGTTTATAGATGATAAGAAGTATTTCAGTAGATTTAACAAAGTCACAAAGCTAGGATTTAGTGGTGCCAAATCAGAATCTAGGTTTCATATTTGGCTCAGGGAATTCTGTGTGTGTGTGTGTGTGTGTGTGTGTGTGTGTGTGTGTGTGTGGTTGGGATGTCCCAGGGACTGAACCCTGGAAAGGCCTGGCACATGCCAGGCATTCTCTCTAGTGCTCAGCCACATCCCAGGCCTTTTCATTTTGTCTTGAAACAGGCTGTGCTCAAACTTATGATCCTCTTGCCTCAACTGCCTGATTAGCTAGGATTACAGGCGTGGGCCAGCACGTCTGGCTGAAATTCCTATATAAACCTAGCACGTTACTGCTTTTGGCCAAGGGCATTGGAATAGGATCACAATATAAGAATGCTGTATTTTGCAATTTATGCTTTTGTGGTACCGAGCAGTGCCTTACACTTCTCGTGTTCGTCACGGCAACCTTTTGGTAGAAGGAGACCTCACTTCTATTCTTTCAACTGGTTTCTACAGTAGTTAATCTCATTTTCTAGCAAGAATTTTAAGACCTGACCTAAATATTACAATTAATTCATAGTTAACACATAACCTTCTTTTTTCCCGTTTTCCAGTGTAAACACTCATAAATGTTACTTAATGTTACTTCCAAAATAGCAAGCTTAACTTTTGTGGTCTATGAGGCCGCGTTTACACATTTGTGATTCTGAGAGTGGGTCATCCAAACGGTCTCTCCAGCAAGGGACTCAGTACTGTTGAAGTTTCAAGGATGAGAGTTTTGCTTCTTGTTGCCACTTTTTGCAGCAGAACACAAACACAATGCTTTTATCTGGCCATGAAATAGTTCCCATTTGTAGGGTGATGTAAGGAGTAGTATGAAAACGTTTTAAGAAAATTCCTTGTGTATTGATTCTTAGGATTCCTAAGATGGCGCTTCTATCTGATCTCTGTGGTTTTGACTTCCCCATATATATGTCTTGTTATCTTTTACTAAATATTAGCTTGTTAGAGTTTTATGACAGAATATCTTTTCAAATAATATGTTCCTGTTTTTTAATTAATTAATTGTGTTTTGAGGTAGGCTCTTACTGTGTAGTTCAGGCTCGTTTTGAACTTCCTTTATAGCCCAGGTTGGCCTTGAACTCCTCATGATCTTCCTGCCTCAGTCTCCTCAGTGGTGGCATTACAGATGTGTGCCACCACTCCCTGCTTTTTCCTACTTTTTAGAACGTTGGGAAAAAAACTTTAAAACTTGTTTGGTTTTCTTTCATCAATAATTTTGAAGTGTTAAGTCTATGAGGTATAAAATAGTCAATCTTATATTTTATACTTTTTAAATTATAAATATGATAATGCAAATAGAGGTTTCGTCAATATCTACATGTTAACTGATTTGAGTATATTCTCTGCCCACAACTTCCTTTTAACATGTAGGATTAGGAAAGGGGAGGGAAAAGTCAACATTCAGGGGAAATAAGTTAATTCAATTGATGCAAGTCCATAGAATCCTGTAATATTTGGAAAGTCTAGAAACCAAGTAATGTTCTTAAGAAACCTAACACATTTGCTATGTACATGTTTCACAGTAGTTTGCTATGTCTTTGTAGGTTGGAGATGTATGAGATGCTAGCTCTTGTGAGAACAGTAACTTTCACTTTAAAGCCTCATCTAGCTCTTCCTTTGTCCCCGTAGGTGGCCATGTTTGTGCTACACTTGGGTAGCGCCACATTCCTGCTTACAGAGCCTGTGATCAGTGCGATGACAACCGGGGCTGCCACCCATGTGGTGACTTCGCAAGTCAAATATCTCTTGGGAATAAAAATACCTTATATATCGGGACCTCTTGGATTTTTTTACGTGAGTTTCCTAAATGTCGTTGTTCTTAGATTTTGAGTATATTTTTCACAAAGTAGAATTTAATTATAATACTGATGTTTTTCTGTATTACAACTTGGTATTATGTAAAATCGTGTGGGGTATTTTAAGTATAATGTAAAGTATGAAACTAGTTTAACGAGTAATGTCAATTAATTTTAGAAATCCTCATCATGATTTACTCTTTCAATTCTGGTTATTCAGTTGATTTCTTTTTTTCATTAATTTTATTGAGAAACAAATAGCAATTCAAAGCAGGTTAGTAGGACAGTTACAATGATTAATACATTGCATATTGTTGTCTTCAATATTTCACTATTACACATGACTTTCTGAGGGTTAATTTCCCTTGTATATTATTGTCTGCATCACTGATTATGTTATCAGGATAAATTTCTAGTAATAGAATTACTAGATCCAATGGATATTTAATATTTGGCTCAGGGAATTCTGTGTGTGTGTGTGTGTGTGTGGTTGGGATGTCCCAGGGACTGAACCCTGGAAAGGCCTGGCACATGCCAGGCATTCTCTCTAGTGCTCAGCCAC